CACAAGAAAAGTACCAGCCACGACATCGGGCGTCGCGCGGACCTCCTCCGCAGTCAACTAAAAAGCTCTCCCATTAGCCTTTGGAGCCTCGGCTTTCACCGGCCGAGTCTAACCCTAGCAGTAGGCGCAGATTCCTGGTGAAGCTGGGGACACTCGGCCTTCCGATGGCCGGTCTGGTTGCAATGGAAGCAAACCATAAATCCCTTGGGGCAATCCCTAGCGATGTGCCCCTCCTTGCCACACTTGTAGTAAGCACCTGATCGACAGGCCCCTCATGACCCTTGCCGCACTTTCCACAAGTGCGGCCCTTTTGACCTCCCATCCTCGAATTGGAGGACTTGGTCTGCTTGGCTGCCGGCTGGGACTGAGCCGGCCGCTGATCCACCCGCTGAGACTCGGCCTCGTCCCAGGCCTGAGTCCCCAACTCGATCTCCCTCTTCCGGGCATTTTCCTGGAGCTCATCAAAGGTCCGGTATGTCGAGTTCGATACGAACTCCCGAATGTCCCTCCTCAGTACACCCAAATATCGGCTCATCCGATCCTGCTCAGTGGACACCTGCTCAGGGTAGAACATCTCCCTTGAAAGAATACATTGGTCGGAGAGTCAAATCTTTGACTATGACTATCCATTCCAACTTATCCACACAAATTAAGGAGGCTCAACTGGAAGCTTTGCAACCTGAACATGTGACGGGTGAATCCCTGAGAGGAATGGAAAAGAATCTAGAAATCAAGGGTGGCGGAGCATATTATCTCATGGACCGTATCTGGACACCGAGACATGGTGGTTTCAGAGACGTGGTCATGACCGAAGCACACAATATGAGGTATTCCGTTCACCCAGGTTCAGATAAAATGTATTTGGATCTTAAGAAATTGTACTGGTGGCGTAACATGAATGCAGAAATTGCTACCTTCATAAGTAAATGTCTTATTTGTGCTAAGGTTAAGGTCGAGTATCAGAAACCTTCAGGATTACTACAACAACCGGAGATACCGGAATGGAAATGGGAACGAATTACTATGGACTTCACAACTAAGTTTCCCAAGACAACGGGTGGACTCGATACCATATGGGTCATCATCGACAGATTGACGAAATCCGTGCATTTTCTATCAATCAAGGAGACTGACAAGATGGAAAGGCTTACAAGAACTTACATAAGGGAAATAGTGTGACTGCATGGTGTTCTGATGTCCATTATCTCCGATAGAGATAGTAGATTTACTTCAAGGTTCTGACAGTCACTACAAAGTTCCCTGGGGACTTGGCTAGACATGAGTACAACCTACCATCCACAAATAGACGGGCAATGTGAGAGAACGATACAAACTTTGGAAGATATGCTGAGAGCCTGTGTGATTGACTTTGGAAAGGCATAGGATATCCATTTACCCCTTGTCGAATTTTCATACATCAATAGTTATCATACGAGCATAAGGGTTTCTCCATTTGAAGCCCTCTATGGCCGTAAGTGCAGGTCCCCTCTGTGCTGGAATGAAGTTGGCGACACATAGTTAGCTAAAGGACAAGATCCTGAAAGCACTCTCACCCGTTCGGAAATCATACGGGAAACGACAGAGAAGATCGTTCAGATTCGTGAACGGTTGTAAGCCTCTAGAGACCGACAGAAAAGCTATGTTGACCTAAGGAGGAAACCTTTGGAATTCTAGGTAGGAGACCGCGTTCTATTGAAGGTCTCATCGTGGAAAGGCTTAATACGCTTTGGAAAGCGTGGAAAGCTAAATCCAAGATACATAGGGCCTTTCAAGATTCTCGCCAGAATCGGCCTTGTAGCTTACTAACTTAATCTACCACGTGAACTTAGTAACATACATCCAACCTTCCATGTCTCGAACTTGAAGAAGTGTCTGTCCGATGGGACTCTTGTTATCCCACTCGACGAGATCGAGATCAACGGGAGCCTCAACTTCGTGGAAGAACCGGTAGAAATCATGGACCGAGAGGTCAAACAAACGAAACAAAGTCGCATACCCATCGTGAAGGTTCGCTGGAAGGCCAAGCGAGGACCTGAATTCACATGGGAACGCGAAGATCAGACGAAACAAAAGTACCCACATCTTTTTCTCTGATTCACAAGTATCTTTCTTACTTTAAATTTCAGGACAAAATTCCCTTTAACGGGGGGGATGATGTGACAACCCGATATTTCAACTCTATGTAACTACCTAAAAAGTCAAGTATAGTAACCCCTTTTGATATAATGAAATTAACTTCGAAAATAAAATGTCCAAAAGTCTCTAATTAGTTACCTACTATGTTAGATGTCATTAAACCGTGATCGTACGTAAAAAGAATGCCCAAATCTGACTTTGTATAAGGAATTTATGAATTTTCCAAGTTCGGCTTAGTGATAGAAAACTAAAAACTCGAAACGGAGATCGAGCGACTTTTAGCCGGAATGACCTAAATAAGAATCGAAGGTCTCGACAATGGTTTCAACGGTAAAAAGTCTGGAAAAAACAGACGTCGGATAATGAAGTTATGAATTTTAACGAAATTTTCTTACTGCGACCTTTTAAAAATAAATAATAAAAATAGTTTCAAAATTTTCCGACGCAGTCTAAACGAAAGTTGTAGAGCATAGTCTCACCTACGCGTGGATATAAAGAACGTCGAAAATGGAGTTCGTATGAAGAAGAGATGAATTTTTGAAGTTTATTAAATAATAAAAATATAAATTTTGTATTAAATTTCGGTATTATCCAAAGGAGGAGTCACCAAGCCGATCAGAGTTAAGCCCAGCATACGCCCAACGTACCGAGGCGGTTCCCAGCCCCTATAAAAGGGATGCGAGGGTTCTGAAGAAAAGGCCGAATTCCTCTCATCTTTCTTGCGTATTTGACTCGTTTTCCATGCACGTGATATCCCGAAGTGTCGGTTTCCTTACTCAAGTCCCGAAGATCGTTTGTGCTCCCGAGATTCCCAATAATCCCGAGAAAAACCGCTTTCTCGAGTCGAAGTTCTGCTCGGTTTTCATCTTGCTTTCTTCGATCTTTCAAGTGAGTTCATACCCCTATAATCCATACTTTTAAATGTTTTAGAAATACTTTTATATGATATTAAGGGGGGGGGGGGGGGAATACAAGTAAAACAAACGATTATTACCGTGTGTTATATAAAGTTTCATTATACACTTTTTATCAATGGAATCATATGTGATTTATAACTATTATAGGGAAACTTTCGTATGCAAAATATACCAAGATAACATCTTATCTTTTAAAAAAAGAAATGACTTATGTATAAATGTAAATCAAACACTCTGCTTATACTGTATGTATATGTGTCCATCTTTGGCACTAAAAAAATTATACTTTTCATAACAAGTGAGAATTTCACTAGGGATTACTATACAAACGAGACACACTTTTAGAAAACTATAATAGGTATAGTTTTACAAGAACATCACGAACTTTTACATACTAGAAATACTATTTCAAAAAGTTACTTTCATATACAAGAACAAATGAACATTTTCACATGTAAATCTATTTTATACTAAATTTTGTGAGATATTAAACTTCACGTACGCTCGAGTACACTTTTCAAGTCCTGTATTATATACCAGAATCCCTTGGAGGGGGAGCATGAAATTTGTGTATAGATCTATACGGTATTGACAACCCCGCGCCCTGACTGTTAGCTACAGTAGACCATTTGGGATGACAAACGTCAGAACATTCTAATGCCTGAAGAACGTTGTGTCTAGGCATTTCTAGTCAAATAGCATGGTTATAAAACTCACATGGAGTATCAAAAACACATTGATTTACGGGGTTTTTGAGACGTATTGGAAATTTTATACGTACATTAATTAACTACTTAAGGCATGAAAAACCTTATCGTGATACAATTTTGGAACTTCTAAACCGCTACCCACATACGGAAAAACATAAATTTTCTAGAAACAAACATTGGTCTTGATAGAAGGCTACATTTATACTAGTAGAGAATATGGGATTTTCTAGGAACCAACAAACAAAAACAAACCATTTCGTTTTAGTTCATGCAATGTTGTCATTTAATACTTATGAAACTTACCAGCTTATATGATGATCTACTCTTTCAAAACTACATGTATGTCCCAGGGATTCCGTAATTGCAGGTAACAAACAACTTTTGAAGAAGGGACGCTGTGACGCCAGTTTAAATTCATATTTTGGCATGATATTATAATTGGTTTTGTACGTGTACCTTTTAAACAATGTAAACTTTCAATTATATATATGATGGTTATATTGCTTTCTTTACTATGTATTCAATTGTTACGTTACCACATGAAGTCATCCGCCCCCAAACGTTTCCACCTTTCCGGTTTATGGGTGCGACATGAATGATGCTTGTCGATCGGTTATTGCTTCTGATAATATTCTAGAGTCATGCACTACCCCTTCCCACCGGCCACAACAAATGTAAAAATCATATTGAAGTCACAAACTGCCAATACGTTTTGCTAGCAATCTCCTTTTTTCCTACTTCTCTATAAGTCTTGTTTCTTAGTAGGGACAACAACATGTATTAAATTTCCATCAAGTTCACCAAGCGCCCCTTTGAAAACTCGTCGTAGCCTCCTATTATGTCTTGGAATATTTGGATTCGGATTAAAAGAAGTTGGTACTATAACATCTTGTGCGAAAAACATCATTTTTTCCACCACTTCATAAACAAAATTTATGAATTGTTTGCTTCGAGTGTTGAAATCTCCAATTGATAATCATGTAACGTTGATTATGGCTGATCATCATAAAAAACATAGCCATCTTTTCCTCAAACAATACATTTTTTCTGTCATTTAATGAGTAATTTGCTATAGAATGACCACGTAGTCGTACAAAAGAGTCATGGGACATGTGTAGTACTTCAACCCATTGTAAAGGATTAGGATGTAACAACTCCAATGTGTATTCATTTCCCATCATTTCCGAATCATTATCCCACAATTGTTTCACACCCTTTTTCCAAAAATAATGGATGTACAGGTACATAAGAATTACAAGAAGTAACTTTTGGTCGTGATCCATTATGAACCTAAAATCAACAAAGTAGAACTTTAAAAAACATTACATTAATCATATTTCAAGTAGCAAAAAAACATTACATAAACCATATTTCATGTAGCAAAACAACATTACATAAATTAAATTTGAAGTAGCAAATAAACATTAAATTAATCATTTTTCAAGTACCAAAAAACCATTAGACAAACCACATTCCAAGTAGCAAAATAACAAAAAATAGTTCCAACAAAGGAAAAAAGACCTAACAAAATATTTCCAACAAAGATAAAAAGAACTAACAAATAGTTTCAACACTAGAAAAATCATCGGACAATCTTTCCATCCTTCAAAACTCCTAAACTTGTAGCCGTCATCTCAAGCCATCCTTGTAATACCTCGGGATCATCCGACAAATTCCTACACATCTCTCTCATGTTCATGATTGCTCCAAAAATATCATTAGCAACAAAGCGTAAAGGATCTGTAGGGCCTAACTGAAGCACCTCTAACTTCTCTAAACATTAAGGGTTTGTATACCCTTTAGTCAAAATTTGTAGACCTTTTTTCATTTCTAATGCTAAATCGTCAGTAATAATAGAAGTTCTATCAGGTGAAGAAGCATACGGTGAGGCTCTAGGAGGTACAGGAGTTAAGGGTTTAGCCCTTTTGTTAGGGCTACCCGATGGTGAAACAATATATGGTGAAGCAACAGAAGGTGAAGCAACAAAAGGTGGTGGCTCATGGTGGGAAGTGTGGTCACCATCATCATCTATTGCATTAAAAGGGGTGGCGGTAATTTGAAGTGGTGGAACACGACAAGATGATGCTACAGCTACTGATGATGATTGGGTTGAGTAACTCCTAAAATTATCAGTGGCACTATTTCCATCAAAAAGACGTGCACAAAGATCTAGAAAAGGTAGTGGAATTGTTCTCAATGAAGCAGCCTTCGGATGCCCCTAAACCTGAATGTAACAAAAAATAGTATAAGAATATTTGGCAACTTCAAATGTAAACGTTTAATATGTGTGTGTGTGTGTGTCTATATATATATATATATATATATATATATATATATATATATATATATATATATATATATATATATATACCTTCTTAAAATCATCCCACTCGTCGGTTGTTAAGTTGAAAGTGTTTGTTTGAGAGTTGTAAACATTACTAATTCTGTTTTTTAAATACACCCATCCTGTGTAATTGACTTTCAGATTGTCATATACGTTTGTCATTTGTTTTTGACTCAACTCAAAACCAAATTTCTCCTTAAGAAGTCTTCCAAGCATTATCCATGAGTTTTTTTTTTGCAAAATCAATCATTTTCTCCCGACACTCTCTACTTCTTCAATACAAGTATCCAATAAGCATTTTAAATGCTCATTAGTCCATTGTTGTTTTTCTCCCATTTCTAATAAGCAATATATCATAAACAATAATAATTTCATACACTATTGTAGTATTTACAAATTGACAAATATGATTTCATAACGTATTGCATATCATACACATTCCAACAAAAATAAATAACAATTTGAAACAACATTGAGTATTTTCAAAACCAAATAACAATAAACAATCAACAACTAACATCATTATTTCATAGTTCCAAAACCAAACAACAATTTTCGAACACATTCAATAACAATTTTAAGCACATTCAACAACAATTTTAAGTACATTAAAAAACAATTTGAAACAATAATAAGTATTTTCAGCCTCCTATAGCAGCAAAAAAAGATTTTTAGCCTCCTATTTCAACAATTTGAAACAATTTTTAGCACATTCAACACATTTTAACAACAATTTTAGCAAAGAAAATTATTATTTTCAGCAAATAACAATTTTCATCAACATTTAAAAACAAATTGAAGCAATTTGATCAATTTGAAACAATTTTCAGCAACAATTAACAACAATTTCAAGCGCTAAAATTTTCAGCAACATTAAATAATAATTAACAACAATCCGAAAATTTAAAGCACTAATTTGAAGCAATTTAAAGCAAGAAAGTCTATCTTTTCTTCAATATTTTTGGACTTCCAATATCAAAAACAAGAATTTTAGTGCATTACAAAGTTTTCGAGCAAGATTATTCCTCAATTTTATGGTTGAACTAAAAAAAAAAACAAAAGAAGAAACAAACTTGTTGTTCTTCGTTGATGGCTTGGAACGGAGGTCGCTGGTCGTAGAACTCACCTGCTTACCTGGACGCCATCGATCAGAGAGGATGGCGGCGACGGGAGGTTCTAATCGACGGTGATGGTCAACGATGGATTGAAGATGGAGTGGTCGACTGTGAAAATTGGAACAGGTGGGAAGTTACGATAGAGGCGGAAACAAAAAAAGAGGCATGTTTTTTTTTTTTTTTAGGTTAAAATCACTTCGCAGACCTTAGAAGAGGCAGGCCCAAATCTGTGTGGTAAAGACCTCGCACAAATGTTTTTATGTGTGCGCACTTATGAAAAACAAATGCACTTCAAACCTCTAGGTCTGTGTGTGGTCTGCGCCCCGCTGATAAAAGAAAGCATATATGCAGATCTGCATGAGGTCAATGTCGTAACATCGAAATTGATTATTGATGACGTTGTTATAATTGAGAAACAAGAGAGAGAGAGTTTAATTATATATTTTCTTTTTTAAACTTTTTAAATAAAAAAAGTATGTAAATTAAATTAAAAATAAAAAATATAAAGTCTTTATATATGGGTGATAGACTATCCGGTTAAAAGTTTTACAACCATCAAGACTGTCTATAAGTATTTTTGAATTGTAGGACTATATCTCAAATTTTTAAAGATAATGATTATTTATGATGTTTTGTCTTTTATTTAAATTAAGATGACCGATTGATTGTAAAAAGCTTTGTAGGTAGCTTATCAAATCATTAATTGGAACTACTACATACTTATACGGATTTTTGGGTTTAAAGACTATATCTCAATTTTTTTAAAACAAGAAGGATTATTCTAAAGTTTTATCTATTATTTAGATCATAAAAGGTAAATATGAATATTTAGTAAATATTTCTAAATTATTTCACTTATATACACAAGACTTCATACCACAAAGTTAGAAGCCATTTGATCGTAAAATGTATCTAGGTAGCTTATCAAATCACTAATTTGGGGGGTGGGGTTTACAAGAATTGTTCGTACGTAGAGCAGCACCCTTATCCTTTCCATGGTTTGCTTTTACATGTCCATTTATTTTCATTTGTTTTGTGTGTATGCCCGCAGTGAGTGTATTGTCTTTTAAGTTTGTTGCGACATGCATATCAAACATTTCATAACATCTCAATCCGTCCCTCTCATCAAATATGAAAATTTAAATATTTTTTGATATAGTTTAGAGTTCTCTCTATGTATTGTCTTTCAGTCTTTTGGCACTTAGTTTGTGGAATACATTTATGTTGTAGTTTTTTCTTTTTACAAATCTTGTAATAATGTATGAATATTTTTCTATGGATTTTGATGAATATTAATCCCTTACAAAAATATTTTATGGCTTTTGTAACACTTAAAATGAGACTTGCATGTAGTTACAGACTTGTTTTATAAAAAAATATAAAATGATTTTCACTATTTACAAAGTATGATAAATAATTGGGACGTTCGGGCGTACTTGCGATCGTTTAATGCATTATGTAGTTCCAACATAAAGGGAAAAATACTTAGATACCATTTATAGTGATAAAAGAAAAAAATAAATAAATAAAAGGTAATTGTGGTTTACTAAAGGTTACAAACTCAGTTCATAACAAAAACTTTTGACGAATATGGTCCATGTGGGTCATTAAGTCTTTTCAAGCAGTAGGGATTGATTCGTCCCAAATTTTTCGTTTTTATTTATTCAATACAGTAGAGTATAATTAGATTTTTGCGGAAAAATGTACTTGATACGTGTGAGTACGCTCGAACATGGTCTTTCTAACAAATCAATGAGGTACGTAAAAAGCTTTTATAAGCAACTAGGTATGCGCAAGGCTTTGTGAGTTCTCAAAAATACCATATGTCACAATACATATACATAAATGCATACAAACGATGACTTACGATCTTTCAGCAAGCCACCAATTGGCTCATAGCCATTTGTCAATCCACCAACAATAAGTGTATTTAGACTTACGGCCTACTTGCCATTTCATCATAAACACTCGGGTCTATAGGCTCCTAACCTTTCGCCGTTCCGCCATCAACCCTTACTCTAACCGTAACAAATAGTTTAATACAGTAAAAGTTATGCACATAAAGACCACACATTCAACTCTATTCATACAGCCACCTTAGATATTATAATCTTTACTCTACTAACAATAGGCACATAGAAACTATCCTACTAGCTCTTATATCCTAAAATACATGAATATATTCTATAATACATACTATAGTGAGATAACTCACTTGGAAAACTAGTTAGATGATTAAAAGTTATCCTCCTGACGATTCAACTGGCGGGTAATGTATCTATCAAGAAATAACCTATAATACTATAACTTATTAAAGCCTATGGAAATCTAGTAGAAGTTAAATCCTTCACTAACTCCAAGTATACTTTGATGGCTATCAATTAAGGATCATGCGCACAGGACAGTATGGAGGCAGAACCATTTAGGCGTATATCTTTTCTGAAATCCAACAACCAAGCCAATATGCACATTCTAGACAACTCTCCCGTAAGTGGACCAATCACAACATTTAACTAGAATTAATGATGATCTACCATTTATATATTCCTAATAAAGTCTATAACCACAATAATAAGTTACCCTAAAAGCCTCGTAAGTGTAGCTTAACTTATAGAGTTTTTATAAAAAAAAAACTAGGAAATTATGCAGGCATAACACCGACCCAAGCACTTCAATTTCTCTTGTTCTCTAATGTCTCAAGGCCTTCCTAATGTAGAGATCTCAAGAATCCCAAAAAAAAAAAAAAAAAAAAAAACAGGATACTTCAGATATTAAAGAGAGAGGTATAGAAGGATATTTAGTGTGAAGAATGAAGGAAGGATGAACATCAATTTAAGACCATGGAAGGAGGCACTACGTGAACGTTGTCTCGGGCGCACCACATGCTAGGTCAGTAGTGTTGGGTTGGCTCCTATAAAAAACTACCACGTCTCATCACCATAATGATCCACCTTGCCATCTTCTAGAATCTATGACGTGTTAACATGTGGTGGTGCCACATGTTCATGCCACATCACCTGGTCGATGAAGGAACCCTGTTCGCTTGCTGCCATGTGGCACACTCCGATGCTGCCATGTCACCCTTAGAAAGTATTTTTGTGAATCTTTGAATGACCATAAATTTCACATCAGAGCTCCTCGTTTGAAGTTCTTTATATCCCTCAAATCCACTCGAAAAGCTCTACAACTTTCCTTTCCATCTCAACGACTATTTCTCACTCTAAAAGTCGCATTTTGACTGATTTAAACTGTTAAAGTCTTACACCTCGAAAACCAAGTGTGATACATATGTATATATATGAACAAAAGCAAGACGTGTCTTCGACGCACTCCGTCTTCGCCAAAAGGATCATCGGGTACCTGTCTAATGCGGACCTGAGAATTCAAGCATTTTAAAAACCAGCATAAAGCTGGTGAGTTCATAAGTGGTTTTGTTTTCTGAAAATGTACGAGTTTCCTTTTGCTTTCTGAAAAAGTTACGACCCAAGAAAATCCCATATTTTCTTTTATGTAAAGTTTAGTTATCTGTTATGTTACACGGTTCTGGTTATGTACAATTGTTATCCCAGGAAAATCTCATATATTCCTAAAAGTTGGCTACCGATCTGAATGTAATGTGAAAGATGTATACTGAAAACATGGTTATCCTTGTGAAGTGTATGCTAGTTTACCAATCCAAAATATAATGTAAAAGATGTATACTAAAATGCATTAGTTTTAACACATATATAAAACTAATAACTACAAAGTAAACTAGTTACTAAAATCCATTATTACTAAAAAAAAAGTAAATCTCTGTTATCCAAATTGCGAGTTCCATAACCATACGATAGACTAAATATGGCAATAAGTAGTCCATCTCACTTTATGACTTTCGTCACCCTTGAACCTTTCGGTTCGGTTGTAGCTAGCAGCCAGGCGCGGGGTAGTCAGCCCCGTATAGATCTATACACTCCAATCACGCTCCCTATCGAAGAGATTCCGGTTATAGTAACGGTCCTCCACTGACGTATCTTTGTGGAGTGTTCTCCGAGGACGTGTCTTCAATTTATAGGAATAATAAATTTACTAGTAATAATACAGAAAGATCAAATGACGATCATCCACTTGCGTATCTCTGTGGAGTGTTACCGAGGACAAAGTGATATTCTAAGTTTCATGTTCAAAGTTCAATGTTATGCTTTTAACTGTTATGATGTGAGAAAAACCATTTGTGAAAATATAAAATACAACA